TCTGCCATTAAGCCCCGCTAGTTGCACACTTGTGAGGATCCATGTCGCCTGTCGCTCAAACAGGCCAAAATTGTTCGTTTCCAAAACTTTGGGGCGGAGGCGCGCCTTGCTTGTAAGGCTGGTGACGCTGGATGAGTGGCGCCAAGTTCACCCTGAGACACCTTTGACGCGCATAGCCGGCTGGTCGCCGTGGCGACGCTTAGCTGTCACATGTAAAACCATACGCAGATTTGACGCGTGGCTTGACAGGTATACTGCCTGACATCATGCACATCGTTCACTTGAGCTGTTTCCAGGACTTGCTGGTGGCCGTGCTGCTAGACTGGACGGACACAGATCGCTTGTTCCAAGGCTCGCGTGATGTTCGGCTTCAACAGCTCTGGCTCAACTACCGGGGTTGGTGCGAGGCTGGCGCTTTGAAGGACAGGGCTTCGCGCAAATTGTTCTTGCTGCCGACGCTGAAACCCACTGGAAAATATGCTGAGGTTTCCCAGAAAATTCTTTCAGCGACGGCCGCCCGGTACATGACATTTTGGTTGGCGAGCGTTGCGCGGAGCGTGGCTGCGCGGCAAGACGCGGATGATTTGGATCAGCTTCTTAGCTGCAAACTAGTCGCAAGTTTCAAAATCGCCTGCAGCGCTGCGCGCGCGGTTTTTGCTAAGTCTCAGAGCTGGCGCAGCAGGCGGCCTGGCGTCCATTGAGACGCTCTGCGTTTCGCATGGCAGGGTCCTGCCTAATGCTGCGTGCGAAAAGATGCGGCATTGCTACATGCTGTATAGATCGTCCTACAACGCTTTGGCGCAAAACGCGCTGCAAATGCGAGAGGCGAGGTATCACGTGCGCCCCAAGCAGCATCAGCTTGAGCATTTGGTTTATGATTATTTGCCTCGGAATCCAAGACATATGGCTAATTACGGCAATGAAGATTCAATTCGGAGAACAAAGGTTCAGGCGCTCAAAGCGCATCCTCTGTACATGCCCCAGCAAGTTTTGTCTAGGTACGCCATGTCTGCATGCTTGAAGTGGACGGCCGAGGGCTAAAAAAAAGGTGCTGATTGACGGGGGGGCCGTTCTGCGCCGGAAACATCAAACAAGAATTTTGTTTGAGCCCTGCCAGTGGAAACGCTGTGCATTTTGCGATGATATTGGCGCCGCAACAATTCAGCTTGCTTGGCAGAAAAAACACATTCTTTACTAAATAAGAGTCGTAGTTCTACATCCGTTGTGAGAACACGTCCCCAATATGTAGGGCTGTTCGCCTTTCATTTCAATGCTAGCTCAACCAAGCGTGCGTTTTTCTCAGCTATGTGTGTCATGGCAATCTTTACTCATCCGTTTTCAACACATGTTCTCAACAACTAGGGTTGTCGTGAAGGTCATAGCTTCAACCCGTGGCGCATGTTACCCGGCTGTGTGCACCTTTGCAAACTAGCTGGCGCCCAGCCCCCAACTGGCACCGGCTGTATGTGCGGCACCGGCTGTATAGAAAAAACCGGCTGTTTAACGCGGCTGGTGCCACCGTGCTGGAAGGTCTTAGCTGCTCTTGTGCTTGCTGCAGGGCTTTGGCTGCGAGGCCCTGGCGAGTCATCTTAGTGGGTTTCGAAGGTACCGTTAGGCAGCTCTTTTTCGGTCCCTTTTTGCACGCCGTGCCACTGCGCTTGGGTCTAGCGGAGGGCGCCCTTGCTTTGGCTGCGAGGCCCTGGCGAGTCTTCTTAGTGGGTTTCGAAGGTGCTGTTAGGCACCCTCCGAGCGTCCCTGTTTGTTCCCTTTTCCGTCGCTTTTTGCACGCCGTGCCACTGCGCTTGGGTCCAGCGGGGGGGCGCCCTGGCTGGCTGCGCCCTGGCCGTGCCTTAGCTGCTCTAGTGCTTGCAGGGCTTTGGCTGCGAGGCCCTGGCGAGTCGTCTTAGTGGGTTTCGAAGGTACCGTTAGGCACCCTGCAAGCCTCTTGTCGGCTCTTTTTCGGTCCCTTTTTGCACGCCGTGCCACTGCGCTTGGGTCTAGCGGACCCTGGCCGTGCCTTAGCTGCTCTTGTGCTTGGCTGCGAGGCCCTGGCGAGTCTTCTTAGTGGGTTTCGAAGGTACTGTTAGGCACCCTGCAAGCCTCAATTTTCGGCTCTTTTTCGGTCCCTTTTTGCACCCCGTGCCACTGCGCTTGGGTCTAGTGGAGGGCGCCTTGGCTGGCTGCGCCCTGGCCGTGCCTTAGCTGCTCTTGTGCTTGCTGCAGGGCTCTGGCTGCGAGGCCCTGGCGAGTCTTCTTAGTGGGTTTCGAAGGTACCGTTGGGCACCCTGCAAGCCTCAATGTTCGGCTCTTTTTCGGTCCCTTTTTGCACGCCGTGCCACTGCGCTTGGGTCTAGCGGAGGGCGCCCTGGCTGGCTGCGCCCTGGCCGTGCCTTAGCTGCTCTTGTGCTTGCTGCAGGGCTTTGGCTGCGAGGCCCTGGCGAGTCTTCTTAGTGGGTTTCGAAGGTAGCCGTGCCTTAGCTGCTCTTGTGCTTGCTGCAGGGCTTTGGCTGCAAGGCCCTGGCGAGTCTTCTTAGTGGGTTTCGAAGGTACCGTTAGGCACCCTGCAAGCCTCAATTTTCGGCTCTTTTTCGGTCCCTTTTTGCACGCCGTGCCACTGCGCTTGGGTCTAGCGGAGGGCGCCCTGGCTGGCTGCGCCCTGGCCGTGCCTTAGCTGCTCTTGTGCTTGCTGCAGGGCTTTGGCTGCGAGGCCCTGGCGAGTCTTCTTCGTGGGTTTCGAAGGTACCGTTAGGCACCCTCGAAGCCTCAATTTCAGCTCGTTCTCGGTCCCTTTTTGCACGCCGTGCCACTGCGCTTGGGTCTAGCGGAGGGCGCCCTTGCTTTGGCTGCGAGGCCCTGGCGAGTCTTCTTAGCGGGGGGGCGCCCTGGCTGGCTGCGCCCTGGCCGTGCCTTAGCTGCTCTAGTGCTTGCTGCAGGGCTTTGGCTGCGAGGCCCTGGCGAGTCGTCTTAGTGGGTTTCGAAGGTACCGTTTTCGAAGGTACCGTTAGGCACCCTGCAAGCCTCAATTGTTGGCTCTTTTTCGGTCCCTTTTTGCACGCCGTGCCACTGCGCTTGGGTCTAGCGGAGGGCGCCCTGGCTGGCTGCGCCCTGGCCGTGCCTTAGCTGCTCTTGTGCTTGGCTGCGAGGCCCTGGCGAGTCTTCTTAGTGGGTTTCGAAGGTACCGTTAGGCACCCTCCAAGCCTCAATTTTCGGCTCTTTTTCGGTCCCTTTTTGCACGCCGTGCCACTGCGCTTGGGTCTAGCGGAGGGCGCCCTTGCTTTGGCTGCGAGGCCCTGGCGAGTCTTCTTAGTGGGTTTCGAAGGTACCGTTAGGCACCCTCTGTTCGGTCCCTTGTCCGTCGCTTTTTGCACGCCGTGGCACTGCGCTTGGGTCCAGCGGGGGGCGCCCTGGCTGGCTGCGCCCTGGCCGTGCCTTAGCTGCTCTTGTGCTTGCTGCAGGGCTTTGGCTGCGAGGCCCTGGCGAGTCGTCTTAGTGGGTTTCGAAGGTACCGTTAGGCACCCTGCAAGCCTCAATTTTCGGCTCTTTTTCGGTCCCTTTTTGCACGCCGTGCCACTGCGCTTGGGTCTAGCGGAGGGCGCCCTGGCTGGCTGCGCCCTGGCCGTGCCTTAGCTGCTCTTGTGCTTGCTGCAGGGCTTTGGCTGCGAGGCCCTGGCGAGTCTTCTTAGTGGGTTTCGAAGGTACCGTTAGGCACCCTCCAAGCCGCAATTTTCGGCTCTTTTTCGGTCCCTTTTTGCACGCCGTGCCAATGCGCTTGGGTCTAGCGGAGGGCGCCTTGGCTGGCTGCGCCCTGGCCGTGCCTTAGCTGCTCTTGTGCTTGCTGCAGGGCTTTGGCTGCGAGCGAGTCTTCTCAGTAAGTTTCGAAGGTACCGTTAGGCACCCTGCAAGCCTCCTTTTTGCACGCCGTGCCACTGCGCTTGGGTCTAGCGGAGGGCGCCTTGGCTGGCTGCGCCCTGGCCGTGCCTTAGCTGCTCTTGTGCTTGCTGCCAAAGGTCCCTTTTCCGTCGCTTTTTGCACGCCGTGCCACTGCGCTTTGGTCCAGCGGGGCGCGCCCTGGCTGGCTGCGCCCTGGCTGTGCCTTAGCTGCTCTTGTGCTTCCTGCGGGGCTTTGGCTGGCCTTCTTACTGGGCTTCGAAGCAGTTCGTTGCCGGGCCTCGCTACTCCTCCCTACGGGTATTTCATGCGTCTTCCGGAACTCGCCATCTCCGGCGCCCGCACAGTCGCCCGTTCGGCTTCGTGTGCGCAACTGTGATCCGCCCAAACGGAAGCGAGCTCTGCACAATCATCCCGCAGTCAGGGCAGACATGCTGGTAGCTCTTTACCACAACGCCGTCGCGGACACGAAACTGATGGCCGCAGGCGCGGCGCTGATCTACACGTCCGCGCTGATCTACACGGCGCTGATCTACACGGCGCTGATCTAACCCATAGCCTATGGGATGATTGCCAGCCCCTGCCCAAAGGAAGGGTCGGCGGCACCTGGGCGCTAGCCCATTCTATTAACCATGGAACGCAAAAGGAGATTCCTCCACACCGGGATTCTGGTGGTTCCATCTTTAACCTGCAGATCACGTGAAGCCGAAGACGAAGAAGGGACGTTGTTTTCTACTTCCAGCAGGAGGGCGAAGCACCTACAAGGCACGGGGCCGTGAATCATTGACACATGGGTCAGTCCTTTGACAACCAACCAACCCAACAGAATATGATTGGTTGTCCTTTTGGTTTACCTTTGAACCCACCAAGGTTCAGGGACTTTGGACTTGGATCTTTGGACTAACTGTGGCCAGTGGGAACGGGCGGAAAATTTTTGGGGTTGAGCAAATGGAAAACCGCCAGCTCTTAGCTTTCCAGTGAACATCCCAATCCAACCACTAAAATAGGTCCTAAAATGGGTGGTGAATTCACCTACCGAAATGGGATCCCAAAACGGTTTTGACCCCCGGACGGCCAAATGAGCTACGAATTCCCGGCTCAATGCCACGGGCCTCCAGCATTTGGCTTTGCACAGCCTCGAGCAATGGGACTTGCGAACGAGAAATTGCGCAGGCACCACATTGCCATGATCACAGTCACACGCTGTGTGGTGGGTGATATGAACACATCAGCTAAAACCAAGATTTCATGCAGACTCCTCCCGCAAAATCGTGGTACCCTCCAAAAAACAGCAAACCTCCACTGGTCCGACGGAAGATGGAGGGTCCTTCTTTAAACTTTAAAGGGAAACACTACTACCAAAGAAGGCTCACCTTCAGGAGCCCCAAAGGTGACGTTGCACACCAGCAAGATGAAAGAGCACTGAAATGCCTTCAAAATATCCTTTGATTGGATCTCTGCCAAAGAACCAGCTTCCCGGAGAGGATCTGAGCTTCTTCCTGCTGGGCAGCGATGATGTTCAGCACCTGGGCAATAAAAACAACCTCAAGACCTCCCGTCGATTTCCCCAAGGGGCAGCTGTTTTTTGTAAGAGTCCCTTCAACAAACCCAAAAGAAACAATCGAGGAAAAAAACAAAAACAATCTTGAAAGCAGAGGCGGGGAAAAAGAATCCCCCTCCAAAAATATAAGTGTCAAAGAGAACCCTCCCCTCTTCCCGAAAAAGAAAAAAGAACAACGGAACATGGAAGGGCACCACGGTTCAGGGTCGAGTCCAGCGTTGGTTGCTGCATTTCGCTTTAACCAGCCCTGATTTGGTCGCCTTGGGCTAGTTAGGTACGGACGCCAACAGGAGTTGTCGTTTGGTTTAACAATAGTTCCAGTGGATCTCAATAGCCACTGCAGTAGGCAACCAGTATTTCTCCCGGGTTCGCTACTATACCCTTGAGTGCCAGAAGTGAGATCACAGCACCGCAAAAACGGAGGTTCGTGGCAAATTGCAGGGGTGCCCGCAAACAAAAGACATGCATCGCTCGAGTCATTGGAAAGTTTACTGTGGTAAGGCTCGGGAATGAAGTATCCCAAAGCTCCGGCGGGAATCCAGGACCCTTTTTGGTAGTTGAATTCTCCCAAGTCACATGGGGTATCCACTTCACTGCAATTACTCCAATGGGCACCCACCTATGCTCACTTCCGATCCAGTGTATTGGCCAGAAAAGTCCAAACTTTCTGCTAGCCACAATGATCCAGACCTAAAAAGGGACAAAAGTCCAGGAAGTTCAGGGAGTGACTACTCAACAAAAACACACATGAGGCACGGTCGAAATTTCTTACTTAGTTTGGGAGTCCCCTATCGTTTTCCAGCGTTTCCGTCCTTTTCCGGGGGGATCGTTTTTTGAGAGTCCCATTTCGCTTGCCATGGTTCTGTGCATGTTCACAATATCAATGAAACGCCGAATACTAAACTCAACAGAAATATTTTTGACGTTAATTCACATGAGAACAGGAATCGCTCAAGAATCGTCCTGGGGCCCGGCACGGCCGTGGCTTTGTTGCCCCCGACCGCGGACTTGCGCTTCTGGGGGACTGAGAACTGGCGAAGCTCCTCGCCAACAGGACCAGCAGATCAACCTTCTGGAAAAAGGTTTGAATGTGGTGGATCCTCCCCTGTAGGCGATTCCAAGAGTAATAAAGGATTACGCAAACAGAACCAACCGGGGGAAGAACAGGTGAAACCGACAAAACTCGCTCCAATGCCGAAAGGCGTTGCCGTCTTGAGCAACAACAAACTCCAGATCCCAGTTGCCAGTGTAGCTGGTAACCAGTATATCAGCATATCTCTTCTGGGGCTAAGGGTTCCCTTGTTTTTGCAGGGACATGGAATCACCAGATCGTTGAAGCAACCTCTTGTGGGTTGCCCTTTGAGAGGGACCAAGGGATTGGTTTCTCATGCCCCCGGCACTTGGCCCCCGCAAAGACTCAAAGGCCGTGTAAACGGGGCCTCAACAAAATGGGGATTGGTGCCCTTTGAACGGATGGGGCAACCCCCCCCCCCCCCGCCACCCCCGGTTTTGTAAGAGAAGTCCGAATCAAAGCGGCCGCATACCACGGGGGTCTCTGGTTTCCCCAGTGCCAACATTTGCAATGAGTACAGCGAATTGTAAACATTGCAAGCACACCAAGCAGGTACCCCCTTATTGGTGGTGGGATGTGACCACCAAACCACCAAAGCACCAATTGGAGCTGAAAGCACAACCCATTTTCGACAAGGACACTTCTTGCTGGTGCTCAGGGAATGAGGGAGTGAACCTGGGGGGAAAACAAAAAAACAACTTAAAGGAAACCACCAGCCAGAGATGTTTTTTATTCAGTCCATTTCTCATTCCCTGCATCTCTCGCACCAAGAATTGCTTCCATGGCTCCGGTTCTGCCAAGTTCTTTTCGGTCTATGGCGACTCTCCAACTCCGAAGGACCACGAAGCACCAGAAGTCAAAACACAACAAGCCTGCAAGAAACCAAAGCAAACCCAATGGGCGGCTCGTCTTCCGTTGTGGTTGCTTTTTTAAAAGCGAACGAAAAGGGGCACCAATTTGTTGTTTGGGGGGGTTCCTCTACCCCAACGGCTCTCAGAAAGCGCCTGCTTGTGGATGTCCGCCTTCACCTGGTCGATGCTATCCTGCGCAGAGGGAAAGGGATGCACGTCCATTGGTCGCCTCTGTTAGAAACAGGGCTGTCAGTTTTCAGATCGCATGCTAAAAACTTAACCTTCAGAGGGTTAAATGGAAACCCCCGCTAAACCCTCAACAAAACCTAAAAACGTGAGGGGATGGCCAGGAAGCTTTAAGCCTCTTACCTGGGTCACGGATTTAAACGCCCGGATAGAACCGAACAGAGGCGCCCAACAGAAGAGGAGAAGGAGACGGGGGATGGGCTCAAACCCAAACATTGCTCGGAAGCTCAGGGGATCCGTTCCCGTGGTTCAGGACAGGTGATAGCCCCCTTCAGTTTGCCACGCTCACAAATCACCTTTTCGGGATTTGGGATGCCACAGCCTCACGGACCCTTGAGCTTAAGCCCAATGCCTGAGCGGGTTGGTCAAAAGTCGGAACAACAACACAATGTCTTGCCAGCAACATGGCTCTGCCAGAACCTTACCCTATAGGGTTCACCCCCCATCAAAAGAAAGGTTGACCCAATTTGTATGATGACAATCCTAGGGTGAACCATGGTGGTTATGTGAACCCCATTGTGTTAATGGTGGATGGAACCCCAAAACTTAGGGAGTGCAGAATGAGGATCAGCTTGTCCTTGAGCTCGCCAATTTGGTCGTCGATGTCCATAAACCTCTCGGCAATTGACTCGGTCGAACGGATGGAAACCCGTCGAACGGATCGCTGAAAAAACACAATGCCACTCCTCGGCCTCGAGAAGCAAAAGAAAGGCCCCCCCCTTTGTTTTTTCAGGGGGTTATTTCCTTTCCATTCTTTTCAGGCATCCTGCTTTTCAAACACCAGCCATTTCCCTCGGGTGTTTGGTGGTTTTCTAGAAAGAAGGATCCCTGAAAGGAATGGGGAAGTTACCCCTAGATTTTTCAGTGCAGAAACCATTTAACGTGAGCAGCGTGAACATATGGGTGAAACTTAAACCACCAGGATATGGACGGCAGCTTTCAGTCATTGTTTTCAATATCGGGGTTCCATTGGTACCTATTTGAGCCACACTCATTTGGTCCTTGAGACCAGTCGTTTTGCCCTCGCCCACGAAGGGTGCGGGTCGTTTTGCCCAAAAACGGAGCCGAGCAACCCTCAGAACTCCCGCAAAACGGTCGATCTGGGGCTGGCTACGTTCACAAAAGCCAGCGAAAAGGGGAATGTCTACAGGTGTCCTTTGGGACCAACATTTAGAAACTTTAGGCTGCCATGGTTTGCAAGGGTTGCTGGCTGCATTATGAAATCTCTATGGTGTGGTCCAAGGAGGTTCCCTAAGGCTCCCCAAATTCTACTGAACCCTAACCTCGGGGAACCCTGAGGAACCCATGTAACAACCCCAAACTGTCAACGGAAAGTCCGAGAAGCAGGAGCAGGGTTTGAACAAGAAAGTTGGTGAAAGGGAAACCACAAGCAAGATGGCGGTCCCCATAGACCCACCAGGCTTTCCCACAATCCACCGCACCTCTTTGCCGCCCTTTCCTGCTGCCGCCTGCATCTGAAAGGCTAAAGCTGCCAAATGAGCGTGGTTTTTATCCCTTTTAAGATTGCGTGGGCATGATCTAAATCATCCAAGCTTCCGTGCAACCTTCCGCGTCCTTGCTACAGGCCAAAAACGAAATCCTTCTCCGGACATCCATGTTTTTCATCAGAAACCCCGCCGCGTCCTCCCGCGGCGTCCTCCCACGAGCAATGGTGCAAAAAGATATACGTAAGCTGAAACAGTTCCTTGATCCCCCAAATGGCTTTTGTAGGGCTGAAAAGAGGTCCAAGTACTTCCTTGGAGGGTACTTGGACCCTTACGGGCTCATAACAACCGAACAACCCCCTTCCACAAAACCTTGTGCAGGTTGCGAGAGTGGCGCGGTGTGCACCTTGAAGAATTCTGTGGTTTGAAATGTGCAAACAAAACAAGGGATGCTCTGATGGGTGTGTCATCTGTTGTTGAAACCTTCTTAGCTGGTTTTGAAAGGACACCTTTGCGACAATGATCATGAACGTTGATTGGGGACCCTTTGGGGATTGATAAACCAGTCAATGTTGACAGTCTTCCTCATTGAGATGCTTGGTTCACTTGAGTAGAGTTATTTGGGTGAAGTGGGCCTATGCACTGGCACCCGTGGAGCCTCCGTGGGTGTAAAGCCTTGGACGCCTCTCTCTTGCGCCTACTCCGAGTGCCCACGCGAACGTTTCTCACGCGCTACTCTTAAGTGTGTAAGACAAACATGCCGACACGACGCCTACGCGAACCTTGCGCTGGACTGTCTTGAAGAGTCTACGCGATCGTTTTCCCCAACAGAATGGCCGAAGCAGTGCCACCGCGGCATACAAAGAGTCACCCTGGAGAGTAAGCGAATACGCAAAAACAACTCTGCTCATATGGGCCACAAACGACCGCCAAGGCTTGCTGGCAAGGTCTGTACAATCAAGTGGATAATCGGTAGGTTCTCGGTTATGCCGACTTTGCTTAGTTTTCGACACCGCGCCCCTAATCAGAGGCTTGCCTGGGCCTACCCGTCATGTTCTGCTTTGATCCTCATCGGTTTACACCGGATGTTCATAGCTCGAGGGGTGCGCCTTGACACAACGAAAAGGTGCGAATGTGGTTTCCGCTGGGCTTTTGCCAACGCCAGCATGTCGTCCCTCGCCTCAATCTCTGTTGCCTGCGCTCTTCTTCTTCCTTGTGCACCTGGGCAGCCGCAAGATATGCTCTTGGGCTCCGATCACAACACATTTGTCACCTCCCAAACAGGTTGGGCATGCTTCAAAGAACATATTGTTTGCAACATCTCTGACTCGCGCCTCTGTCACTCATGCTGGTTCATCAACCTGAAAACAACACACGACAACATGCTGCGTATGTTCTTGTGGCAGATCGATTTCTCCACCGCTCCAGTGGTAACAGCCTTGCTCAATCATGTGGGTGTGTCTTTTTTCAAGTTGGCCCCCCAAAGTGGCTCGGGTTTCTCCGCTCCTTGAAACCCACCCACCCAAAGGGGGTAATTACCCAACTCAGAAACATCGACCTTCAACCCATGTCTTCACCGCGCCTGTGCCAAGGCGTCATCTCGGGCCTTGCGCTTGGCATTCCAATGCTGCCGGATTCTCTTGTCCATGTTTTGCCGAAAGCCTGCAGGAGGCGACAAAAAAAGAGAAAAGCAGCCTGGCGCAAGAAAAAACGTAGCACCCAAAGCGGAGCACCCGAGAGGTCAACTTGTGAGTCTTTTCAGGAAAGCACCATGAAGGAGCTGTTCTGACTTGGACTATCTGTCCCAGCCCCCACAAAAACTCTAACATCTGTAACGATTTGAGACATAACCCTTGCAGCAGCTCAAATGATTCTATGTCCAAGCTGCCACTGACCGATGAAACCAGTGCCATTTCCTGCGCACGTGAGCCGCGCATGACCTCAATTACACACAGTCCAACACCACGAGTAGCAAGTGACAAAACCATGCATGAAAGCAGTAAATGCGAACAACCAATCCAACATTGGCTGATACTTGGAAACCTCCCGTTTGCCCCTTCGCTTATAGCCAGTCTGCCAGTCCGCAAAAGGCCTGTTAGCATATATAAACTGTCATCAACACTCCTGACATGGTTCGTAGTTCCCCTAATCGG